TCTCTACATCTCTTCCTTTCCAGATGTGGCTGTTGAGCCTGGAGGTTCGACTTGCTGAATGAAGAAAACAGCCTCATGAGCTAAAGTTGTACTGCACAAAAAGGACATGCTGCAGTAATTATAACTGAGAAGTATGTGGCACGCAAGTGTGTCTTCCCACATCGACCGTGTGGGTTCTGCTGCTCAGACATCTTGTGATTCCTCAAGAGGTTTCTCTCAGGGGCATTTGACTTCTCTCATCATTAACTATGATGTCCTAAAATCTGCCAACATTTGATAAACATTTTAAGAACCAACTTAGTTTACATATAACCCACATATGGTAACCCACAAATCACACCACACCTCTGAACATGACTATAGAGAAAGAACTGTAGTGCTGGGGGGTAGGGGACTCAAGAAATTCATCTTCAAAGTCCTTTTTGGTTCCCAGATCTGTGATCTGGGCTTTGCATCAACCTTCTGGTATTTCTAGCCGGACCAAGTGAGTGTCTGGCCTAGGAATTCTACAAAGATGAAAAGCTGTAGGCCGATCTAATCCTTAGTGCCCACAAAAGCCTGGTGACATGGGGCCTGAGCTCTGTAGAGCTGCAGCTTCTGGTTCCCTCATTAAGAAGATGCCATGGAGAAGAAGCCTTTCCCCTTCTGCTACTCTGAATGTAAGCTTTAAGGAAGGTACAATTACTTGTCTCCTAATTAGTACTCTTTTTCATGTCTTTCACAGATCATAAATTAAAAAAAGAACCAGTATGGTAAGGCAATACCTAAAACCCATACAAAATAATATTTCCAATCACAGCTTAGAGGCAATGTCGTTAGTTAGAAGAGGACTATACAACAGGGTGCTAGCTAAAGCATTGTCTCCTGGTGTCTTTCTTTGTCCCTGGGGTATATGGCACTATTGACACAATGTGCATTTTCTACTTAATGGAGAGCAGGGCTCAGCTGACTGCACAGAGGCTGCCCACAGTCCGTGGCCTCTAGCTGACACAGATGGATCACAGTCTTCTCTCCTACTCTGGAGCACGGAGACTGTTGACCTCAGCAACACTCCATTGCTCAGAGATCTAACTCCCTTATTTCCCAACAGAACAGACTTCACCTGGCATTCCATCTGTGCTTCAAGCCATACTTTCCACAAAGGAAATCATCCTCTTTCACAGCTATCCTGCAGGAGAGGAGGGACAGCGTATGCTGAACCATACCCAGGAAGAGTCCTTCATGCCTGGAGATGTCTCCACCCTTCCCCAGCTTCTCTCACTGAGTTCCTGCTGCTCTTTCTCTCTTTTTCCATCCCATTTAAAGTTTTCTTCTCCTTCCCCAGGAAGTTCCCTTCTTGTCCTACTTTGCACTCATACTCAGCAAAACCAAAATCTTACCACAAGCTGGACCTATAACCTTATCAACAGGCCAGCAATTGGTTTTCCTAAACAGGCCCCTCACAATATTCTACCCTGCTCAGAGTAGTAATCAAATATTTACCCAACAAAATTAGAGAATCTAAGAAGTGAAAGGTTGAGGTGGAGGAGACTCTACTGCTAAAGAATTAGCTTTTCTCCACATTGTCAAAAACTTATAGCTATAGATATGACTTATGTCAGGTTTTGACTATACAAAGTATGTTCCTTAATTTGACAAAAGAAACAAGACTAATGAAATTGGCAGTTTCAAGATGGTCAGGGCACAGGATTTGTGTGTGTGTGTGTGTGTGTGTGTGTGTGTGTGTGTGTGTGTGTGTGCCAGTTCTGGGTCTTGAAATCTGGGCATGGGCCCTGTCCCCGAGCTTCCTTTGCTGAAGTCTAGCACTCTACTACTTGAGCCACAGTGCTATATCCAGCTTTTTCTTAGTGGTTTATTGGAAATAAAAGTCTCATGGAGGGGCTAGGAAGGTGGATCAGTGGTAGAGTACTTGCCTTGCATGCATGAGGCCCTGTGTTCGATTCCTCAGCACCACATAAGCAGGAAAAAAAAGTCAGAAGTGGTGCTGTGGCTCAAGTGGTAGAGCGCTAGCCTTGAGCTAAAGAGCTGAGGGACAGTGCCCAGGCCCTTAGTTCAGGCCCCACGACTGGACCCCCCCCCCCCCAAAATAAAAAAGTCTCATGGACTTTCCTGCCTAGGTTAGCTTTGAACCATGATTCTTAGGCCTCAGCTTCCTTAGGAGCTAGGATTACAAGTATGAGCCATCAGCACCTGGCTCACAGGGTTCTTTTTAGAACTGCCTGCCTCAAGGTCTATTTCCATTTTGCTAATAGATTACTCATTGCTATCCATCTACTTTCTAGAGTTCTTTTGCTATAGCTGGGGCAACATCCTAACTGTTGTCCTCAAGAATCGAGGAGCATCTGGAATACCACATCTACTGGTAACAGCTCCCATATCTTATCCCTAAAGCTGATCTCAGGAGGTAAAAGTGACTTTAAGGATTTTTAAACAGGGAAACCATCCTGGGCATTTGGGTGAGTACCACATAACCACAAGGATCCTTATAAGTGAAAGAGGGAGGTAAGAGATCAGAGTTAAAGAAATTTGAAGATGTAACTCTGTTGCTTTGAAGATGGCAGAAGGGGCAAAGAAACAAAAGGATAGAGTACCTCCAGAAACTGCAAAAGGCAAGGGCCTGTACTCCTCCACAGTCTCCAGAAGGAAGACTGTCCTACCCACACCTCAGCTGTCCTGACACCCATTTGAAGTAGTGGAAACAAAACAGGATCTGCCAAGTGTTTACATGCTCAAGGGTGCTTTAAGGGAGAAAATTCTATTTATTTTCCTCTTCTCATATTATTCACCAGCATTTTCCCTCGAAGAGCATATAAGGACAAGTAAACAAGCAACAAAAGATGTTTCTGTGAAGGTGGTAAAGAGTTTTACTAGAAGGAAGGGAGTGACAAATAAGCCTAACTAAAATTTAAAACAAAATTATTGTAAAGGTGATGTACTGAGGGGTTACAGTTACATAAGTCAAGTAGTGAGTACATTTCTTTTTTTAACAGTATCACCCCTCCCTCATTTTCTCCCAGTTTTTTTTTTCCTTCACTCCAAGTTGTATAGTTCATTTCCAACATAGTGTCTAGTGAGTATCACTGCTGAATTAGTTCATCCTTTGCCCTACTGTTTCTGTACTCCCTTCCCCAAATCAGATAAACTTAAATACAAGACAAAGGGTACAGAAATCAAAACCAGTGACAAAAGGAAATAAACTGAAGGCAAAAAAAGAAAAAAATGGGGGAGGACTGCAAATAGTATGATTTAAAAAAAAAAAACCCTCCTGTTTCCATTTCTTGGAGTTCATTGTGATAAGTATCACTTTATTCACTGTACCAATCTCCAGATAAACGCAAGGATTATAAAGAGAAGAAAACAGGCGAGGAGAGAAGAGGCTGGTTATATTAGGAGCTAGAAACTGGTTCACATGTTTATGGAGGCTAAGAATTCTCAGGATCTGTAGCCAGCCAGCTGGAGAACCAGGAGATGGGATGGTGTTAAGTTCTACTTTCTGCTGAAGTCTAAATATAAGGCAGAAAAGGAATGATGTCCCATCTCAGTCAGGCAGAGTGAGCTCCCTTTTCTCTGACTTCCTTGAATGACTGGATGAGGCCCAACCACTTTGAGGGTCCTATTGTTTTACCCAATCTACTGGTTCAAAAGTGATGTTTGGGGGCTGGGAAGGTGGCTCAGTAGTAGAGTGCTTGCCTTGCATGCATGAGGCACTGGGTTTGATTCCTCGGCACCATATAAGCAAAAAGAAAAAAAGCTGGAAGTGGCGCTGTAGCTCAAGTGGTAGAGTGCTAGCCTTGAGCTGAAGAGCTGAGGGACAGCACCCAGGCCCAGAGTTCAGGCCCCACCACTGGACCCAAAAACAAAACAAAAAAAGTGATGCTTGGTTAAGTATCTGGTCACTCAATGATTGGTTCCTTGATGACTACAGACCCTTTAGGCACAGTACAAAGGACTGGTGTGCAGTATCTGAGAACCAAACCTACTCTGATGGATGTAGGGGGAAACTTTTGTTATTCATTAAAAAGAACAAAGTGAGTGCTGAGGGAGAAAATTCTTTTAAGATACTTCAGTGAGCAAAGCAAGTCTCAGAATAATTATGTGGGATACCACGCCACCTGTTGTTGGTTGTGGGGCCTGAATTATGGGCCTGGGCGCTGTCCCTCGGCTCTTCAGCTCAAGGCTGGCGCTCTACCACTTGAGCCAAGCACCACTTCCAGCTTTTTCTGTTTATGTGGTGCTGAGGAATCGAACCCAGGGCTTTGTGCATACGAGGCAAGCACTCCACCGCGGAGCCACCTTCCCAGTCTGCCTGCACCTTATGTTGGAATTACATGTATTTGTAATTATGCACCCATGCGAAGTTCAGAGAGGAAGCACGAGATGCACCGCTGCACATACGTCGTGTTGAGAAGACGAGGCGGGGAACTTGCCCGCCTCCTCCGTTGTTGGAGTAGCGGGTGTTCGTGGGGAAGCCCAGGATTTAGATCTACACTATGTGAATGATTTTACAGGTATATCAAATGAAGAGAAGCAGTCGAAAACTTGGCTTAAAGCATGCTTTGTCTGTCCCAAGAAAAATGCACACTTTGATCTGCACCTGATCCATAAGAAGAGTGGGGGGGGGGGGTCGTGTAAGACACGCCCCCAGAGGCTTGCCCAGTCAGACCTGAGCGCGCAGCCCAGGGCGGCCGCGGCCCGCGGAGCGCGAGGGGCGCCCTTCGCGGAGCCGCCGCCCCTGCGGGCCAGGCCTTTATACTGGCAGCGGTCACATTTACTTTAAAAGAGAAAACGTGCGTGCAACGAAGACAGCGCAGAAGGAAGCGTGCCTGACACGGGCTCCTGCCGGCTCGCGGCCCAGGTACCCGGCTCGCACGCGGCGGCGCCTGCGCGCACAGGCCTGCGCCTCCTCCTCCCCCCCCGCCCCCCCCGCCGACGCGTTTTCGGGCACTTCCGGGGCGGAGCTCTAGGGAGCGGAAGTGCCGTGTGGCGGCGCGGCGGGGGCGGGAGGCGGCCGCGGCGGGCGCGGATCTTCGGCCGCCGGAGGAGCGCGGGCTGGCCGTGGAGTTTAGCGTACGCGGGCGTTCGGTTCGTCTCGCGGCCATGAACCTGGAGCCTCTGCGGAAGCGCGTCCGGCAGTATCTGGATCAGGTGCGTGGCAGACCTGGCGCGGGGTGGTCACGTCCAGCGAGCAGCTGCGAGTCCCTGAAGGGAGGCCCCCAGGTGGGGATCCGGAGACGTGGGATGCGGGTTAGCGTGGGGGCCCGGGGACGTGGAGGTCCGGGGACGTGGGGTGCGAGTCAGCGTGGGGGGCCAGGGACTTGGGGTTCCGGGGACGTGGGGTGCGGGTCAGCGTGGGGGACCAGGGGCTTGGGGATCCGGAGATGTGGGGTGCGGGTCAGTGAAGGGGGCCAGGGACTTGGGGGTCCTGGGACGTCGGGTGCGGGTCAGTGTGGGGGGCCAGGGACTTGGGGGTCTGGGACGCGGGGTGCAGGTCAGCGTGGGGTTCGAGGACATGGGGTGAGGGTCAGTGTGGGGGCCCGGGGATTTGCTGGACGGGGCCGGGTGTGGGCCCCGGAGACTATGGGACGGGTCAGGGAGGACGGGGGGGGGGACGGGGGGGTGGGCAGCCCGGAGTGTACGGGAGGGGGTGGCATGTTCAGGAACGCCGGAGAGAGCTGGGGGCCGGGGCCTCACGGGGGACCTGGGGACTGCGGAGGAGGGGGGCGGGGCCGGGGACCGCGGGGGCTGGGGCCTCGCGGAGGATCCGGGAATGTGCAGGGGGGCCGGGGCCTCACAGGGGACCTGGGACTGCGGGGGGTGGGGGGAAGCCGGGGACTGCGGGGCCTCACGGGGGACTCGGGGATGTGCGGGGGGCGGGGACCGCGGGGGCCGGGGCCTCACTGGGGACCCGGGGATGGACAGGGGGCTGGGGCCTCACAGGGAGGCGGGAAGGGGATGGGCGGGGGACCGGGGCCTCACTGGGGACTCAGGGATGTGCGGGAGGGGGGGTGGCAGGTCCAGGCGCACAGGCGAGCCCGAACTGCTCCCTCTGGTGGGCCCCACGGAGGCCACGTTGGGGAGCAGCGCTGGCTGCAGCCTTGGAATCTGCCTGGACGAACGCTTCCAAGAGATGAGGCTGTGGCTTTTATTAGCCAAATGCAGAGAATGAACTTGTCGGTACTCTGGGAGGACAGCAAGGAGGACTTCAGACAGTCACCACGGTCCAGTGTGATCCCATTTTCTCCAATCATTGAGAGTTAGAGTAGGGAGGGGAACACACAAAACAAAATGACAGATATTGGAATCAATGCCAGGTGACGTGACCAGGTGTTTGCAGCACTCTGATTTGAGGGTACTCACCAGAAGGCGCTTCACTGTTAGTTCTGAGTCTTTCTTTGACACTAAGCTGTGGAGAGACATCATGAGCTTGTTTGCCACCATCCTGGCACTTACTTGCTCTGAACGGATTTATGTGCCTATAAGCATTCCTCCGGTTCATCTGTGTGTCAGCCCTGTTCTGGGAAACGAGACAGAACTCATAGAAAGAACCCAATGTATGAACCCCAGACTGACACTGTCTGAGACCAACTTAAGAATGACTTTCATTGTCCTCTGCCTTTTTGTTGAAGTGGCTAGAGTAGGTAGCTTTCCCCTGGTCAGTGACAGTTAATAGTTGTGTACATTTTTGAGTGTTATGGAAGTTACAAGGAAGGTATTTGTTCTCCTATTAAGCAGATCTACATTGGCATGTATTAACAACTTATTGAAGGTGTCATATAAATGCCAGCACAGGAAGTGTTAATGATTAGAATTGCAAAATACTGCAAAATAATTTAAATTATCTATTGTTCAAACCCCACAACTAACCCCTAAAAAAGCTGTCTTCAAGAGTGGTACATATAAAGATCTTAGTAATTTTTTATCCTTGTGCTAAAACTTATCCAGCTGAGCTGTAAGATAAGAGATGATTAATAGACCCCCTATTACACAAAGAGGACTTATAAGGAAATGTGAAACAAAGGCAATTACCCCTTCTTTTTTTTTTTGATACAGCAACAGTATCAAAGTGCTCTTTTTTGGGCAGACAAAGTAGCTTCGCTCTCTCATGGTAAGTGATAAATGTCAATTTTTTTCCTAATCTTTAAAAATCTTTATTTCAATTTACACCTTTGACCACTTGTATAATTTTATCCTTTAGAGGAGCCCCAGGATGTTTATTGGTTGGCTCAGTGTCTCTACCTAACAGCGCAATATCACAGAGCAGCCCATGCACTTCGGTCTCGAAAATTAGACAAAGTAAGTACGGTAATTGTGTAAACTTAAGGGTATTCAATGTTGTGTGAAGAAAAAAAGTCATTAGGTTGGTATTTTAGGTGTGTGTCCTATTTATGTCAGGTTTTAAATAATTCAATTTTGGGGGGCTGGAAAGGTGGTTCAGTGATAGAGTGCTTGCCTTCCATGCATGAGGCCCTGGGTTTGAGTCCTTAGTACCACATAAACAGAAAAAAGCCTCAAGTGGTGCTGGAGCTCAAATGGTAGAAGACTAGCCTTGAGCTGAAGAGCTGAGGGACATATCTAGGCTAAGAGTTCAGGTACCACAACCAACAAAAAAAAATTCAATTTTTCTTGAATGTGAAGAGAAATTTCTTTTTTTTTTTTTTTTGGCTGGGTCTGGGGGTTGAACTCAGGGCCTGGACGCTCTCCCTGAGCTCTTTTTTTTTTGCTCAAGGCTAGCATTCTACCACTTGATCCACAGCGCCACTTCTGGCTTTTTTCTGGGTAGTTTATTGTAGATAAGAGTTCCACAGATTTTCCTACCTAAGCTGGCTTTAAACCTCAATCCTTAGATCAGGATTATAGGCAGGAGCCACTGGTGCCCAGCTGGGAAAATTTCTTTCTTATTCCTAATCTTAGTCATTTGTTTTCCTTCACTTTCTCCATCCCATCTTGTTACTAAGTTGTGGTAATTTTTTTTCTGTTGTTAGTATTTGTTTACTTGTTTCGAGATCAGATCTCACTACCTTGCATAGGATAGTCATGACTTCTGGGGCTTAAGAGATCCGGTCTGCCTCAGCTTCCTGAATAGCTGGGATTACAGGTGCCCACAACCATACCTGACTTGAAAATTCTGTGTAGCTCCAAAATTTTGGGCATTCTTTTACATTCCTTACGACTAATGCAAGCCAGGCCTTCAATCTGTCTTTTCTGTTAGAGCCTATCTCCTTGTTTCCTCTTCTCCAGTAATTTTTTCTTACTAACTTATACCCAGTTCCATCTTATTAACTATCAAAGGACTAGTTTCCTAAAACAGAGTTTTGATTATATCTACAAAATTATTCAGTGATTTAATTCTCCCTACAGGGTAATAGACACCTGAGACCCATACTGCCATTGATAGATACAGCACACGTTTCTAGTCATGTTGTACTCTAATTCCTGGACATGCAGCAAGTATTTTCACTGCAATGTCTGTCCAGCTCTGCACTGATCTGCAGATGCTTCCTTTAGCTGGCTAGTATACTACTGCTGATGCTCTTCTTTCATGATGTGTTGTGCTGTTTGTGTCTCCCCTTGCTGTGACTTGAGGCAGGTTCTTACTCCTTTTTGAGTCCTTGATGTTTGGTAAACAGTAAGTTCATGAGAATATGGACTAAAAAGAGTAGGATTTTATAGTTTTCTTTTAAAGTAAAAGTACATATTATACTAACTACTTTTTAAATAACCTCTTTCTTAGTTGTATGAAGCTTGTCGTTACCTTGCAGCTAGATGCCATGTAAGTATAATACTCACTTTTCTTTTTATTTGGCTTATGTTAGATTAACTAAATCTTGTGAATCCCTCATGTCTATGACAGGTTCTTTAGTATCATTTTGCTCTAAAAAAAATCAATTCTTGCCAGGCGCTGGCAGCTCATGACTGTAATCCTAGCTACTCAGGAGGCTGAGATCTGAGGATCACAGTTCAAAGCCAGCCTGGGCTTTGAAAACCAGAAGTGGCTCTGTGGCTCAAGTGATAGAGTGCCAGCCTTGAGCTGAAGAGCTGAGGGGACAGCGCACAGGCCCATAGTTTAAGCCACAGGATCGACAAAAAAAAAATCAATTCTTCTGACGTGCAGAAATTTGTACCTTAGATACGTAAATTTAAGAATTGGCTGTAATTGTTATTGTCACTCTATTTTTTGGTCAGGTCCTGGGGCCTGAACTCTGGGCCTGGGCGCTGTCCCTCAGCTCTTCAAGGCTAGCACTCTACCTCTTGAGCCACAGCACCACTTCTGGTTATCTGAGTGATTTATTGGAGATAAGAGTCTCATGGACTTTCCGTCCTGGGCTGGCTTTGAACTGAGATCTTTAGCTCTCAGCCTCCTAAGTAGCTAGGATTATAGGCATGAGCCACTGACGCCTGGCTAATTGTTACCTTTTTAAAATCTATAAGTCACAGGTAATGGATGCTATTTCTCTATTTTCTTCTACGTAGTATGCTGCAAAAGAACACCAGCAGGCTCTTGATATTCTTGATATGGAGGAACCAATTAACAAAAGACTTTTTGAGAAATACTTGAAGGATGAAAGTGGCTTGAAAGACCCCTCCAATGACTGGGAAATGTCACCATCCTCAGTGAGTGATGTTAGTTTGCCTCAGTAATTCAGCAGTGGGAAATGCCAAAATACATAGCAAAGACAAATTACCTTTTGTGTGTATGTTCATTAAAACAGTTATGGTTGCCATCTTATTCATCTTTCTCTCCAAGAACCAAACTGAGACATTTCTTTTTTTTTTTTTTTAATTTAATTTTATTATTATTTTTTTTGTGAACATACTGTACAGAGGGGTTACAATTACAAGGGCAGGATAATGCGTACATTTCTTATCAAGCATTGCAGCCTCCTCCTTTGTTTACCCTTCACATCCCTTCCCTACCTCCCCCCTACCACCCAATCCTCCCCTCCCCCCCCCCTCCCCCAAACTGAGACATTTCTAAGTATGCATAAGTTGTAACCTCTAAAGCTAACCTCTGAAACTGCATCACAATAGACTGATCCATGACCTTGTTTCCCAGGTTCCATGTCCCACAGATGGAACCATCTTTCTTTTTTTCTGTGTTCCTGTAGTATTCAGCCCTACCCAAAGAAACTTTGGTTAGCTTAAATTGTTTCTGGGAAATGGTCTGGTGTTACTGTTTACTAGATAGTGCATTGTTGTGTTATTTAAATGAATATACTTCATATCTCCATGAAGCTGCATTGTGTGTGTGTGTGTGTGTGTGTGTGTGTGTGTGTGTGTGTGTGTGTGTGTGTGTGTGTATGTGTATGTAACTTTATGGATTCTAAGTGTTCCTTTCCTCCTTTTCCTTCTTATTACCAATTAACTTACATACCTAAGATACACATTAATTTTTCTATTAAATGCATATTGAGTTGATGGTTCACATCAGTAGTCCTAGCTACTCAGGAGACTTGAGATTGGAAAGATAGCAGGAAAATTCTTGAGACTCCATTTCCAAAATAATCAGAAAAACCTGGACTGGACACATGGCTGAAGTGAGAGTATAAGCTGAGCAAGCAAACATGGCCCTGAGTTTAAACCCCAGTGCTAGTCAAAAAAGAAAAACAAAAATGCATCTGTGGGGAGTTTTGGTATTATTTTTTTGGACCTTTTATCCATTAACTCCATGCTATGAAATGACATAATTTACTTATTTTGCCTTGTTTGTAAATTACTAAGATTCTCATAATGTCCATTAATATATTTTATTCTGTGTGTGTGTGTAAGAGAGAGAGGGAGAGAGAGACAGAGACAGATGGAGAATTGAAGTCAGGGCCTTGTACTTATTATAAATTCTCCATTACTTGAACCATCACCTGTCATCCTGATTTTCAGGTAAGATTTCTTTTTCCCAGACTGGCATCCCAACTGCAATCCTCCTCCTTTGTCTTGAATACATGGGACTACAGGCATTTGCCACACATTTAGCTCATTTTTGAGATAGGCTCTCACATAATTTTTCTCTGTTTTATTGGTTTTGCTTCCTAGTAGCTGGGATTTTAGGTGTGCCCCACCAAGTCTTGCCAAGTTTGCAATTTTCAATTTATGAATTTTCCTTGTTTCTGTCTTAGTTTTAGCTGCCCACTCTTGAATCATCTTTGAACTTCGTTCTGGTTTCCTGAGGTTTGGGGGCTGGAATGTGTGTTGGACTCTATGTCCTGTTAGTGGTGATAGTTGGCCAGTAAGAGGTACTCAAGTTCCTGTCCTATAAGCAAGATTTAATTCCCATTTTCCAAGTGAGAAAAGGAGACTGAAGCTAAAACAGATTAAATCATCCAGAGTCACACATAAGCCTCAGGGCTGGAATTAAATTTCGGGTGTTGAGTACTAGCAGACCTTGACCCTGACCTGTGACTTAAGGCTGACTCAGACTCACTGTCAGTCTCTGTCATTGTGTTTCCTGTTATACACTCTCTTACATTTGATTTTACATAACGTGGCCTCTTGTCTCATAAGGCATTACCCTATTGTGGGCAAAATAATTAGTGTACCTAGGTGCCATTGACTTGTATACTTTCTGGAAAAGAGTGGTCAGAGTTCATTAAGAAACTTCTGCTTAGTGGGTGCTGGTGGCTCATGCCTGTAATCCTAGCTACTCAGGAGGCTGAGATCTGAGGTTGAGGTTCAAAGCCACCCTGGGCAGGAAAGTCCTTGATACTCTTATCTCTAATTAACCACCAGAAAACTAGAAATGGCGCTGTGGCTCAAGTGGTAAAGCACTCGCCTTGAAGAGCTGAGGGACAGCACCCAGGCCCAGAGTTCAAGCCCCATAACTGACCAAAAAAAAAAAAAGGGAACTTCTGCTTTACTTTAGTGTCTCTGCTAATTTATACTAAGCTTAGTTTAATAATAGTTTTATGTATACTAAAATAGTTTAATAGCAGTAAAAACTCATTTTAATAATATATAGCTTTTTTGGGGGGGGGGGGGGTCCGGTCGTGGGGCCTGAACTCTGGGCCTGGGTGCTGTCCCTCAGCTCTTCAGCTCAAGGCTAGCCCTCTACCACTTGAGCCACAGCGCCACTTCCGGCTTTTTTCTTATGTGGTGCTGAGGATTTGAACCCAGGGCCTCAGGCTTGCAAGGCAAGCACTCTATCACTGAGCCACCTTCCCAGCCCAATATATAGCTTTTAATCAAAAATTTGTTTTGACATTATATATGGTTCTCATTTTTCCAACAGATAAAGAGTTCCATTTGTCTTCTGCGAGGGAAGATATATGATGCTCTAGATAACCGAACCCTAGCTACCTACAGTTATAAAGAAGCTTTGAAGCTTGATGTCTACTGTTTTGAAGCATTTGATCTTTTAACATCACACCACATGTTAACAGCACAAGAAGGTATTTTTACATTAGCATAATTAATATTATTTGTTTTCCTGTGGAATATGTATGTATAATCAAAAGCAGGCTATCTAGAGATTTAAATAGAATTTACTTTCTATTTCTTTTCTTTTTTTTTTGGCCAGTCTTGGGGCTCAAACGCTGGGCCTAGCTTACTGTCTCTGAGTTCTGTTTTGCACAGGCTAGTGCTTTATCACTTGAGCTTCAGTGATACTTCTGGCTTTTTCTGTGATTAATTGCAGATAAAGAGTCTCATAAGGCTTTCCTGCCCAGGCTGTCTTGTAACTGCAGTCCTGAGATCTCAGTCTCCTGAGTACCTAGGATTACAACTAACCTCAGTGTTTTCAAATGTGAAACAATGTTGCAAAATACAAATTGTGTTGTGCCTTTTGCTCTCATAATCTTTAGGATTTGTGATTTCATGAAATTATCTCTGAGCTATGATTTAAACATCTGAGTTAGGGTTCAGTCTAACTATACTTTAAGTCACCAAGGTCTTAAAGTCTAGAACCCAACTTGAGATTGGTTCTGTCAGAATCTCAGGAAGCAGGACTCTAATAACAAATGATTGAAAGCCCCCAAATGATTCTCATATACAATAAGAACTAAGTGTCACTGACTACTAGGTATGGTAGTAGCAAGGTGAAGTGAGTTATCAAGAGAATAGCAGGAACTGGGCTTGTTGAATGATACTCAAAACTATTTTAACCTCCTGTAGTAGTTCTGGACCACGTGGTTATTGTCAGTATCTGGAGACTTTGGTTGTCGTAACTTTAGGGTGGAAAAGAAGGATGGGAATTTGCTGCTTTCATATAGCAGGTAGAGGTAGAAGGTACTCCTAAATACTGCTATGTGCCCAGGACACTCCAGCCTATACAGCATTGGTGCATACATCATCAGTGTTGAGGACCATGGTTTTCAGTATGGCTGATGACAGGGACCTGGAAGTTTTTCTTGACTCAATCCTCCCACTGGTAGCCACAGTATCAGCTTTTCCTAGTACATTTTCATGTCTTATTTCCTTTTGAATAGATTTGTTTTGACCAAGAACTATTAAAGAAGTATTTTCAGTTGCTGGTTTTTCTCATAAATAAGACTTTCTTTTCTCACCATTTTTAAGAAAAAGAACTTCTTGAGTCACTTCCTCTTAGCAAGCTTTGTACTGAAGAACAGGAATTACTACGATTTCTATTTGAGAACAAGCTTAAAAAGGTAAGGAGAAACTTTTTTCTTTATGTAAATATTTCTTCCATTAAATTTGGTCCTTATTTGTTTATTAGATTGGGTTTGGGGTTTTTATTTTTTTAACTTAATGAAGATCGAACTCAGTGGCTTTTTTCTTGTTAGACAGGCTTTCTACCACTTGAGCCATGGCTCCAGCCCCCTTTTACCTTTGTTTTCTTATTTTCTGTTTTTTGTTTTAGACATTAGACTTTTTACTCTACATACCTAAGGATTTCGGCCTAAGGTGGGTCAACAAATAGTTCTGAAACAGTAGATCTTTAATTTACCTACCCAGGCTGGTAGATTATGTCCTAGAGGTACCTTGGTTATTTTCAAGGTAGAGTCTCACCATATGTCGGCTTGGTCAGAGCTATAATCCTACTTAGGGTATTTCCTGTGGCTCTGAGGATAACAAGTACACACTAATGTGCCAGTTATTGTGCTTCCTCTATAGCTGGAATACCAGATATTTGCCAGCAGGCCCTGCTATTGATGAGGTCTTATAAACATTTATGGTTGGGCTGGCCTTGAACACAATCTGCCTCCTGAGTAACTAGGATAACAGTTTGATTCACTGAGCCCAGCTTACTAAGTTAAAAACAAAATAATTTAGTATGTTTGCAAGAATATATTACTTAAAATTTATGGTAAGATTCCTAAAAAGGTTCCCAAGAACTCCTAATGGTAAAAAGTTTATTCTTAGATAAGCAGGTTGACATTGCATGAAAATGAGGGTTTTACTTTGTTTTTTATATACATCCTTCTTGTGAAAGAACTTCCTGCTTTGGAATTTTGTGATGAAATTGAAATGACAGTTAAATTTGAAAAGAGTATTGATGGAATTGGAAGTAAAGCAAGTTTTCAGGGACTTACATATGCCCTATGAGCTCCTGAGACTTGGTATACATTGAGTCTACCTTTTGATTTGCCCATTGAGTTTATGTTTAAATTTTTCTGTTTCAGTATAATAAGCCTAGTGAAACTGTCATCCCTGAGTCTGTAAATGGCTTGCAAGAAAATCTGGATATGGTAGTGTCTTTAGCTGAAAGACACTATTATAATTGTGATTTTAAGATGTGCTACAAACTTACTTCTGCGTAAGTATAATCATTGTTTTTTCTGTAGTCAGGTCAAACCTGTGAGATTCACGGATATATTCTCTGAGTAATCTTTAGCTGGTGATAGTTTAAGTTACTTTTACCATTGACAGATCATCAGACTAGTCAGCTATATTAGGCAGTTTACAGGCACATGTACTCACATATATAGGGTTACTGATTTGAGAGGGATATATATCCCTCTTCCCAGTCGAGATAATTTTGAGAATTTGAAAATACTGTTTTGGCACTATTTTATAAAATTCAGCATTTATTTTATTGATTGATCCATTTGTGTGTATGTGTCGATATTGGGCTTTGAACTCAAGGCCTTATGTTCTTGTTCAGCTTTTTTGCTTATGGCTGGTACTTTACCATCTGAACCACATCTGTCACTTCCAGTTTTTTCTGATCAATTGAAGCTACAAATATCTTGCATTTGTTTACCTAGCCTGGCTTCAGACCACACTTCTCAGATCTCAGCCTCCCGAGTAGTCAGGACTATAGATGTAAGTCACTGGCACCTGCCAAAATTTATCTTTTTTTTTTTTTTGAGGTCCGGTCGTGGGGCCTAAATTCTGGGCCTGGGCACTGTCCCTCAGCTCTTCAGCTCAAGGCTAGCGCTCTACCACTTGAGCCACAGCACCACTTCCGGCTTTTTTCTTTTTGTGTATGTGGTGCTAAGGAATCGAACCCAGGGCCTCATGCATGCAAGGCAAGCGCTCTACCACTGAGCCACCTTCCCAGCCCCATAATTTATCATTTTTTAATGTGGAAAATAATATAGTCCTGGGGACTCTGGATGCTTGGTCTGGCATACCCATTAGTATCTTCTGGATACTTCATCAAAGTATGGTGCCGGGGTCGGGAGGATAGGGGGTGGAAGAGAGTCTTGGTCATTAAAAATGTTTGAAATCACAAAAATTTAACAGGCAAGTACTTAATGACCTATTTAATATTTTATCCTTTTAAATAGGCTATTTTATGTATTAAAATTGTTTTGATTTAAAGTTAAGTTACAAAAAAAACCTAGTGCTTACTTTTTATTCCTTCCAAATAAGCAAATTTCCTCATCCTTTATTTTGTTGCTTTTTAACTGAAAGTAGTTATATTGTGTGTATAGCTGGCTGTCATGTGTGTTATCTTCTGTTGCTTTTAGGTGGTAATATGTTGCTTTCATTTTCAGTGTAATGGAAAAAGATCCTTTCCATGCAAATTGTTTGCCTGTACATATAGGGACCCTTGTGGAATTGAATAAGGCAAATGGTAAGAATTTCTTATAAAACAATTTATAAGACAAAAAGAAAATTCCATAACTTTGTTATAGTAATTCTGAAACTTTGTTCCCTAAGTCCTAGATAGGACTTGAAATTGCAGTTAACAGCATGATAGAGCTCTGTATTGCAAGTAACAGCTAGGGAAGGAAAGTTTCATCAAAGAACCAGCAACCTATATCCCGACAGATAGCATATTTCTGTAGCCCTGCTTCCTGTTTCCTTTTCTTAAGTGTAATTTGTAGATCAAATGTGTGAGCTTTAGCTGGGTGCCGGTGGCGCACACCTATGATCCTAGTTACTCAGGAAGCTGAGATCTGAGGATCACTGTTCAAAACCAGACCAGGCAAGGAAGTCCATGAGACTCTTATCTCCAGTAAAACACCAGAAAACTGGAAGTGGCACTGTGGTTCAAGTGGTAGAGCACTAGCCTTGAGTTGAAGAGCTGAGGCCAAGTTCAAGCCCCATGACCTATAAAAAAAAAAAAGAAAATAGAAAAAGGATGTGAACTTTAGTGACTGTCAGTTTTTAACCTATCCCTCTACCCATTTGTAAATCCCTTAGGAAAGTGGATATATCAGGTGTCACACTATTTGAAGATTTTTAAGGAAACAGTTTGATGATCTTGTTGTTTTGTGCCAGCTTTCGGGCTTGAACTCAAGGCCTGGGCACTGTCCCTGAGCTTTTTTGTTCAAAGCTAGCACACTGCCACTTGGAACAACAATTGCATTTCCAGCTATTTGGTAGTTAATTGGAGTAAGGGTCTCACCGAGTTTCCTGCCTGGATTGGCTTTTTGTTGTTGTTGGTCAGTTGTAGGGCTTGAACTCTGGGGCTGGGCCCTGTCCCTCAGCTCTTCAGCTAAAGGCAAGTGCTCTACCACTTGAGCCACAGTTCCCCTTCCTGTTTTCTGAGTGGTTTATTGGAGATAAGAGTCTCTTGGACTTTCCTGCCTGAGCTGGCTTTGAACCGTGATCCTCACATATTAGCCTTCTGAGTAGGATTACCGATCTGAGCCACCGTCAGCTTTCTGGATTGGCTTTGAACCATGATTCTCATATTTTAGCCTTCTGAGAAGCTAGGATTACATACATGAGCCACTGGTGCCTAGTTAGGAACAGATTTTTTAAAGAACTACTGCTCCACATCTTAACATTTCATAACATTTAGTTGTACCCTTCAATCTTTAAAAACCCGAACAGTAAGTTCTGTCATGGAGGGGAGAAAATCCAAATACCCCAACTCCAGATTCCTGCTTCTCCCTGGTCTGAATCATCAGCATTGGGACTCTTAGAAGATTGGTGGAAATGTAGACTCTCCACTGAATCCAGTGTCTATATGTAGGACATGTGCTCATGAAATGCTAGAGCTTACATAGTTCCTTTTTATTTTTTATTTTATTTTTTATGTGGTACTGAGGAATTGAACCCAAGGCCTCATGCATGCTAGGCAAGCACTCTACCACTAAGCCACATTCCTCCTTTACATATTGCTTAAGAAGAAATAATCTCACTCACTTGATTAACTGGAAGTACTTTGGCTAGTTTGGTAGTGAGTAACTAAAAAGCTACATTCCTAGCCCTTTACATATTGCTTAAGAAGAAATAAATCTTCTTGATAAACTGGAAGTACTTTGGCTAGTTTGGTAGTGAGTGACTAAAATGCTTTAGTCCTTGCCTGTGGCATAAGAGACATGAAATTTATAGATTGGTACTTAGCGAGAATATTTGTTGCACCTTAAGTACTCCGTTGGGGTCATTTCTTCCCATGTGGCCTACCACATGCCCTTCATTCAGTTTTCTAGTTACTCACAAAATGCTTAGAGCCACTATTAGTCTAGGGAGAAGTGTCTGCCAGGTAAGATTTCTTTATTTCATGAAGTAAATGAGTTTTGTACCTAGAAGGGAAAGAATGTATTGGATTATTGCCATGAGAAAAATTTTGCTTGATTGAATAGAGTTATAACTAGCTCAGACTTTAAATTGCATTTGATAAGAATATTTTTTCTTTTTTCCCTAATACAGAACTTTTCTATCTTTCTCACAAACTGGTGGATTTATATCCTAGTAATCCTGTAAGTAATAAAATCTTTTTTCTTAGGTAAACTTTAAGAAAAGCCTTAGTGTTTAGACAGTTTATGTTTAAGTTCAAGCAAATAAGATTTTATTTGAGGGGCTGGGAAGGTGGCTCAGTGGTAGAGTGCTTGCCTTGTATGCATGAGGCCCTGGGTTCGATTCCTCAGCACCACATAAGCAGAAAAAAGCCAGAAGTGGTGCTGTGGCTCAAGTGGTAGAGCACTAGCCTTGAGCCGAAGAGCTGAGGGACAGCGCCCAGGCCCAGAGTTCAGCCCCCACAACTGGCAAAAAAAAAAAAGAAGATTTTATTTGAAAGTATTGGGGCAAAAATTTCCTAGTGCTTAAGATTATAGAAAACAGCATTTTTTTTTCATTACATTATGATAGTTTTTTATTGTGCCAAAGTAATAACACAGACAAAATCTTTTTATGATTACAGATATTATTCATGCTTTTTATTTTAAAATACTTAATGTATAGAAATACAAAATTCTGAATAAAATTCTCACTATGACAGTCACATGCCAATCTCTCCTAAAGAATGTAATTATTGAGTAGGCTCTTGGGTGGCCTGTGTAAGACCCTATGAAATTGTACATTGACTGGACCAATGGATTTTCCAAACTGCTAGATAAGAATGGACAACTCAGAATGGACAGGAAGATTGAGGACTATGTTTTCAAAGACAGAAGCTATGAAATGGGATCTACATCGCAGACAAGACAAAAGTCTGACCCTATCTCAACTAGAAACTAGTTTAAGAGAGCTAGCTGAGAATCAGAAACTGGGTACAGAGAGGGTCAAGCTGAGATCACAGGCAAGGTATACTTAGGAATCTTACCTTCTGTGGAAACCACCTTGAGAAAGAGCCAAGAAAGATTTATTTTTATTTTGGACCTTACTAGGTAGACTTTCTCAGAGAAAATTCTCTAATCTGAACTAAAATCTATACCTGGGAACACCTGGTCCACGTAGTCTAAGCCTAGATTGTTAGAGATTCCATTCAAGGTTAAATATCTCTAGTGCTGATAAAATACTCAATTTTTTAGGTGTCTTGGTTTGCAGTGGGATGTTACTATCTCATGGTTGGTCATAAAAATGAACATGCCAGAAGATATCTCAGGTATGAATTTACTTTTCTGCTTCTGTGGTGAAACTCTATGGAAAGAGATTTGTTGCTTGTAAGTAGTAAATGCAGTAAGTAGTAAATAGTTTGAAAGTGTGAAAGAATAAATACTTTTAACAGATTCAGTTAAAGGTGCATTATCTATGTACCTGACTATAAATGAAAACAAGTAGTAAGTAGAATATTGTTTTTGAAAGGTCCATTTACAGAGCTATTATTATTAACCTTTACCTTGAGGACTTTTACTAATAGCTATTAAGTTACACCAGACTTAAGTCACTTGGTATGTCTGTTAAACAGAGTTTGTGACAGACCGATTCATTTTCTGTACAGAGATGTTGATTTTTAGGTTGTCTTGCAAGTTAGGATGAGATAATAAACCTAAATTGTCCAGCATGGTTCCTAGCATAGAATAAGCTTTCATCAGATGGCCACTGCTGGTACTACTGTTACTTCTGGGGTCACTCTGTGGATTCCTGGGCTAATAGTATTTGTAAGTTTTATGTAAAATGCTGATGGGTTTGGCCTAAGAGTTAAGACCTGTTTTTACCTAGGAATTACAATCCTTTTTCTTAAAATTTACTCATTGATTATTTTTCAGCATTTGAGGGTTTAAATTCAGGGCCTTCTCATGCTTAGTAGGCTGGTGTGATACCACTGAGCTTTACCAGTAAAATTTGTTAAAATTAGTTACTGTTTTAATTCAGATGCATAAATGTAAATGTCACATTAGTGTTCAATATTGGTAATTCATTTATCTATTAATGTCTTTGAGGTCATCTACTAATTTAAAATGAATAGTTTAAATATATCACTTGAATGAATGTTTTATTTCAGCAAAGCTACTACACTTGAGAAGACCTATGGGCCTGCCTGGATAGCCTATGGACATTCATTTGCTGTTGAGAGCGAGCATGACCAAGCAATGGCTGCTTACTTCACAGCAGCACAGCTGATGAAAGGGTACGATAGCAGAACAAACCGGTAAAACTCTGGAATGGAGACTTTTGCAAACAGAATGAGATGAAACTTCTGTTATAGCGATTGATACCATTTTGCCACTAAACAGAAACATGTTTTCTTAGCTACTAGCATGTGATTGTAAAATAAGTATTGAAATGGCAAGGTGCTAATGGTCATGCCTATAATCCTAACTACTCAGGGGGCTCAGATCTCAACCCCCTGAGGATCATTATTTGAAGCCAGCCTGGGCAGGAAAGTCCCTGAGACTTTTATCTCCAATAAAGTACTCAAGAAAATGCTGTAAGTGGCACTGTGGCTCAAGTGGTAGAGCACTGTCCTTGAGTACAAAGAAGCTCAGGAACAGTGCCCAGGCCCTAAATTCAAGCCCCAGAACCAGCAAAAAAAGACTTAGATGCTTATGGCTCATGCTTGTAATCCTAGCTACTTAGGAGGCTGAGATCTGAAGATCATGGTTCGAAGCCAGCCTGGATAGCAATGTCTGACTTTTGTCTCCAATCAACCACCAGAAAACCAGAAGTAGAGCTGTGGCTCAAAGTGGTAGAGTGCTAGCCTTGAGCAAAAGAGCTCAGGGACAGCACCTAGTCCGTGAGTTCAAGCCCGTGACCCATAAAAAAGGGTTTTGGTGTCTAATACATAAAAATTTCCAATGTTTTTAGGTGTCATTTGCCAATGCTGTATATTGGATTAGAATATGGTTTGACCAATAACTCCAAACTTGCTGAAAGATTCTTTGGCCAAGCTCTGAGCATCGCACCAGAAGACCCCTTTGTCATACATGAGGTTGGGGTAGTTGCATTTCAGAACGGCGAGTAAGTATTGGAAGGCCTTAGTCTTGGGAGTTCAACTGGCCGGACTAAGTGATCAATGTATTTTTGCTTCTAGATGTACTTTCTTAGGAGACAGTGGTTGACAGTTAAGGAAAGAAAGTAGAAACTTTCTATGGAAAAGCTTGGGTTTCTGTGTAATACCACATCCATATTTTGATTCTCCTTTGATCTGAACTGCCATAAATTCTGGTGTCCACAGTATATTCTGAAGGATCTCTACAGGATTCTTAGTCATCTGTGTCAGAGTTTGGTTTCACACATTTGAGACAGTCTTTCCATAATGTTTGAAACACAAATGTTTTCTGTTGTTACTAACAAATTTAAAATGTTTAGAACGGCTCAATCTCTAGTTTCCTGGTTAATTGAGGCTTTTCTGTAGCGTTGGCTATTTGTAGAATAAATGAATTTATGTCATAATCTGCATAAGATTATATATAAATTTTAAAGCAGTAGAGCTTCAGAGTTGTTGGTGATGTTTCTCTTTTAAAAGTTGAATTACCGGGCTGGGAAGGTGGCTCAGTGGTAGAGAGCTTGACTTGCATGCTCGAGGCCCTGGGTTCGATTCCTCAGCAACACATAAGCAAAAAGAAAAAAGCCGGAAGTGGCTCTGTGGCTCAAGTGGTAGAGCGCTAGTCTTGAGCTGAAGAGCTGAAGGACAGTGCCCAAGCCCAGAGTTCAGGCCCCATGACCGGACCCCCCCCCCCCCAACAAAAAAAAAAAAAAGTTGAATTACCTATATATTTAAAAGAATATTTGAAGCTTTTAAAATGCATACACATTTTAATTTAGTACAATCCATTCCCAGAATTTATGAAAATTTACATATAACCCCAAACTAGTAAGTGAACTACTTTCAGTCTTCTGAAACACACAATGTGGGGAAAGACTGACATGCTAAAACTCAGTACTCAGCTGGTCTTGCGAAAGACCATGTTGAGTTCATACTCTAAAAAAGTGATCCTCTTCTGTGGTCTGTTTAATGCCAGGGTTTTCACATTTTTTTGCCTTTTTTTGTGATTTTCTGTTTAAAATAATCCCCAAACTTGGTGCTGCCTGTGGTTGAAGCAAAAGAAGCCATGGTGTGCCTCACAGGAGAATTCATGCCTGAATGATAGTACTATTAGCCATGAATTCTGGGTTGTAGGCCAGTGTGAGTTGGGCAAGGTTAGCCATTTTGATCTGTTGATAAAATGTTGTTACCAGTGGTTTTCAGGAGCCTAAAGATGACAAATCATGAGAATTGAATGTGTCTCCCAAACTTGAGTTTATGATAATAATGCTGAAAGATTAACCGTTGACTTAAATTTTAATTTGAAATGTTTATTTCCAGCAGTTTACCCCATTTCATTTTAGGGGTACTCAAATATACTTATTTTATACTTTCTAATTTTAACCTCCAACTTTTTCCTCTCTATTTTAGATGGAAAACTGCAGAAAAATGGTTTCTTGATGCCTTGGAAAAAATAAAAGCAATTGGGAATGAGGTATTCTTTTTAACATCTGCCCATGCACACACAAACATACACAGTCCTGAGCACAATTTACTATGGAATGAAGAAAATACAGACACCAGTCCTCTTCCTAGAAGAGAAAGTAGCCCAACATGTTATAACAAATAATTTGGTAATGTTAGGGTTGTCAGTTGAGTGTTTCAAGGGAAGAAGTTGAATATTTGCCTCCTATCTGTGACAGGAGATAGCAACCAGAATATATGAGATGACTGTTTGGAACAGGATTGTGTGTATGTGTGCTGGTTTGGGGGCTTGAATTTAAGACCTTGCGCACTCTCTCTCTCTTTGAGCTTTTTTTTTTTTTTTTTTGGGTCCGGTCGTGGGGCCTGAACTCTAGGCCTGGGCGCTGTCCCTCAGCTCTTCAGCTCAAAGCTAGCGCTCTACCACTTGAGCCACAGTGCCACTTCCGGCTTTTTTCTTTTTGCTTATGTGGTGCTGAGGAATCGAACCCATGGCCTCAGGCATGCAAGGCAAGCACTCTACCACTGAGCCACCTTCCCAGCACCTCTTTGAGCTTTTTTTTTTTGCCAGTGCTGGGGCTTGAATTGAGAGCCTGTACACTATCCCTGAGCTGCTTTGTTCAAGGCTAGCATTCTACCACTTGAGCTACAGCGCACTTCTGACTTTTTCTACTTATGTGGTTCTGAGAAATTGAACCCAGGACTTCATATATGCTAGGCAAGCACTTTACCACTAAGCCAAATTCCCAGCCACTGAGCTGCTGCTTCTTTTTGTTTTGTTTGTTTGTTTTTTAATGCTCAAGGCTAGCAGTCTACCTAACACTTGAGGCACAACTTCACTTTAGGCTTTTTGGAGTTAATTCCCTGCTCTGTGCTGGCTTGGAGTGCCTGCAGTCCTCAGATCTCAGCTTCCTGAATAGCTGGGATTACAGGTATGAGCCACCAGCACCTAGTTCTGAAACAGGGTTTTTTCTTTTTCGGTTGTGGAGCTTGAACTCTGGGCCTGGGCTCTGTCCCTTAGCTCTTCAGCTTGAGGGTAGCATTCAACCACTTGAGCCACAGTGCCACTTCCAGTTTTCTGGTGGCTTATTGGAGATAAGAGTCTCATGGACTTTCCTGTCCAGGCTGGCTTTCAACTGTGGTCCTCAGATCTTAGCCTTCTGAGTAGCTAGGATTACAAGTGTAAGCCACTGGCACTGGCTGAAATGGGATTTTTGATGATTAAAGACACTGTGAGGGCTGGGAATGTGGCATAGTGGTAGAGTGCTTGCCTAGCATGCATGAAGCCCTGGGTTCGATTCCTCAGTGCCACATAAACAGAAAAGGCCAGAAGTGGTGCTGTGGCTCAAGTGGTAGAGTCCTAGGCTTGAGCAAAAGAAGCTCAGGAACATTGCCCAGGCCCTGAGTTCAAGCCCCAAGACTGGCCAAAAAAGAAAAAAGAACAACTGTGAAGCATTGTAACATCTAGCAGACAGTGCTCCTCTAGAGTGTGAGAGAGGCTGGCCTTTAACTGTAGGAACATAGGTTAGCAGCAGATCCATTTCTATAGGATTAGGTACCATTGAAATTCAGATCTTTGTAATGTTTCTTTTTATTTAGACCTTTGAATATTTGAAATATTTGACTAAGTTCTAGTGTGTGAAAGATATATATCATGAATTGGTATTAGTCAACGAATGCTCCCAACTAGCAAGGATACTGTGATAATTAAAAGTAGTAACAATAGCCAGGTGCTGGTGGCTCCCACCTGTAATCCTAGCTACTCGGGAGGCTGAGATCTGAGGATTGTGGTTCAAAGCCAGCCCAGGCAGGAAAGTCCATGAGACTCTTCTCTCCAATTAGACACAGAAAAAGCTAGAAATGGTGCTTTGGATCAAGTGTTAAAGTGCTAGTCTTGAGGAAAAGGAAATCAGGGACAGCACCTAGACTCTGAATTGAACCAACAAAAATAAATAAAAGTAGTAACAGTTCTAGATGTTAAGACACCTACTGATTTCTAGTTGTTTTAATCATACCTATCTTACTTTGTTCTGAGTCTTCCATCTCAGTTTTATTCTGTTTGTGCTTATATGTATGTATCAAGGGTCCTCTCTCCCTTATATTTGCTCCTGTCTCCTGTGACATACACAGCCCACAGGACTACAGTAGCAGTCTGCCTATCCCCATAGACTCAGTTTTACTTATTTTGGTCTTATATTGCCATCTGAATTTACAAATTTATATTGTATTTCTGTTTGTTATCTGTGTATAGCATGTATGTATATTTATGTCTACATATAAGCAGGCTTTTCTTCAGCTGAGTTTTGGGTGGTTCTGGAAATCCTACTGTGTTTAAATAGGGTTGTCATTCAACACAGTGAAATTTTCAAAGAATTGAACATCTTGCTATTCAGACTGGCCTGCCTGGAAGCCGGCAGCCACAAGTACAGAATTTCATGTTTACTGACTCAAAATTGCAATTTAGCAATATCCCCATATGATTTTCATTCACAAAAAGGTTTGAAAAGTGTGTTCCAGAGCAACACATAAAGTTGCAACTATTTTTATTTCAGAGATACTTCACAGTCTTAAACATCATGCTTTCTGTGTAAAAGCACAATTAACGTATCAGAGTGCCCATTAAAAGTTATATAAAGGAGGGCTGGGAATATGGCTCAGTGGTAGAGTGCTTGCCTAGCATGAATGAAGCCCTGGGTCCGATTCCTCAATACCACATACATAGAAAAAGCTGGAAGTGGTGCTGTGGCTCAAATGGTACCATGCTAGCCTTGAGCAAAAGCAACTCAGGGACAACACCCAGGCCCTGAGTTCACAAGACCCAAGACTGGCAAAACAAAAACAAAAAAAGTTACATAAAGGAGGACTGGTAATGTGACTTACTGGTAGAGTGATTGTCTAGCATGCATGAAGCCCTGGGTTCAATTCCTCAGTACTATATACACAGAAAAAGCCAGAAATGGTGCTGTGGCTCACTTGGTAGTGTGCTAGCCTTGAGCAAAAGAAGCTTAGAGACTGCCCAGGCCCTGAGTTCAAGCCCCAGGACTGACAAAAAAAAAAAGTTACATAAAGGACCACCAGGTGCTGGTGGCTCACACCTGTACTCCTAGCTACTCAGGCTAAGTCTGAGGATTATGGACTGAAGCCAGTCCAAACAGGAAAGTCTATGAGACTCTTACCTCTAATAAATTACTCAGAAAAAGCCAGAAGTGGTGCTGTGGCTCAAGTTGTAGAGCACTAGCCTTGAGCAAAAGAAGCTTGGGACAGCACTGAGGCCCAGAATTTAAGCCCCAGGACTGGCAAAAAAAAAAAAAAAGGGGGGGGGGAGTGAGAAAATACTGTTTGCCTTTAGTTATAAACCATACCAAATGTTAAGTGGGTTAAGAAGTGCTCATGTAAGACATTTGTTCACAGCAATAGAAACCCTTTTTTTAGGTGACACATGCTTACTGAGTGCCAGCCATTCTAGGGTCTAAGCTAGGCATTGGATATAGCAGGAACTAGTTTGATATTTTCTGCTCTCAGCTCTATTGGGGAATACAAGTTAATGTTGGCTACAGTGATGTTATATTATTAAGAAAATGCAGGTACCATTTAGGTTAGTTTACTCAGACATGAGGGTCATCAAGAAGGGCTTGGGGTACACTGAACACTTCATTCCTGAGTGATTACGTATCACCAAGGCAAAAGCAAGGAAGAACTAAATATTTAAGATGTAGAAAATCACTTGTGCAAAGGTGGAAACTGATTTGATATGCTTTCGGTTTTAACTTCATGAAAAAATGGCAAAAAATGAGGAGGGAAAGTTAAGTGTGGGTCATTAAGGACTCTGAAAACCATATTAGGGAATTTGAACTTATCCTGGAGAGGGAAGAGAGGGATTGTATGTAGTCATATGGCTTCTAAGGTGGAGGTCCAGAACATACTTCTGTTAATTGGAAGTGGAGGGTTACACTGTTAGACTTATGTCTAAGAGGTAGAATGAGCAAACCCTAGAGTTTTAGTGGGGTTAGGATGACTTGTTCCTGTTGACTGGCTGGTAGGGCACTCAGATGATGAGTTTAGGGAGTTGGAATGACTAAAAAGAGCTATATTGAATTAAAGTGCTATAACATTTCCAAGTAGAAATATTTTTAGTAGGCTGGCTGATAAGGAAGATGCGCTGTTTCAGAAAGGGTTCTGGGCTGCAGGCACACAATTACTCCTTTAGCATTGCATGGACTCTTGACACATTGTGCTAAATAAGTACATAGAATATTTAGCAGGTGTCATCTAGTGGGGAGGAAATGAGGGTAAGCCAGCAGATTCCCTGCTTCTGCTGTGCAGAAGCACATTACCAGCAGAGAGCCCAGCTTGCTGTTTTCAGGACATGAAAAGACTCAGGCAAACAAAGTGAACAATTATGTGTGTAACTCATGGGTTTGATGTTGCTATGTTTTAGGTAACAGTTGACAAATGGGAACCTTTGTTGAACAATTTGGGACATGTCTGCAGAAAACTTAAGTAAGTGCAATGGAGCATTTTCAGAAATAACTTTGACTAAAAGTTAACTTGAACTGAAAAAAAAAATACCAGGGTTTGAACTCAGGGCTTTGTACTTGTTAAGCAAGTATTCTTAACCACTTGAGCATGTCTCCAACATAGTTTACATGAGTGGTCTTTTTGTATTTTTATTTCATCACATTCTTCAGCCTTCTTGTACTTGATTGCTTAGAGAGAAGCAGCATCAAATTCATTGTTTTATTGTTTATCTCTGGGTACTTTTAGAAACTTTGAGAATTGTAACAGTGGCTCCCTTTTTAAGTTAAAAAATTCAGTGTTGAAAGGTGATTTAGAAAATCTTGGATAATAGGATCTAATTAAAGCTATGTTCCTATTTAGCTATTTTCCCCCCAGAGATTCCATTGTACGGTAAGCAGATAACATCTGAAGATCGTCCTGTGTGTCTTGGAAACTAGGTTAATCAAGATTTAACATGTTTAGGGGCAGAGAAAGCCTTTGTATATAGTACAAGAAGGGAATAGTTTTAAAATCATTGAATTGTATTTTCAAAAGGAAAACAATTTTTGTTGTAGGATTTCTTTGATCTTTACTATGTGTTATGAACTATAGTAATTGCTAGACTTTGAATATAATTTTTTTCCCCCATAGAAGATTTCACAGAACAAGTACTCTACAGAACTTTGGGGAATGCTGGTCTAAGTTATTTTGGGATCTTAAAACAAAACTTCTTGGCTGCTTTCACCTGTCCTGATGTAGGAGAATTATGTCATAGGAGAAGGTGGCAAGTGATGAAGCTCAGGCAGGGAGCTGGGAACAAGCTTCTGGTTGGGTCTTCTCAAAAAAAAGAATATAGCAGATCTGAGTGAGAGTGCCCACAGCTGGCTGAAGGTACATACCAGAAAAATACATTTCTTAGTGTTGTACATCCATAAAATAAGTATGGAAATAGTTACCAGTCTAGACTGCTACTCTAACAGAAAGTTTCCTCCATGTTTATATAGATGATATGCACCCTAAACCTAGAAATGTAGTACTTTTATTGTGTCCAATAATGATTTTCTCTACCCCTTTCCTTACCCTTGTCTCTATCCTTCATTTCCCTTCCCCACCCTGTCTTCTCTCAACAGAAAATATGCAGAGGCGTTGGATTACCACCGGCAAGCATTGGTATTAATTCCTCAAAATGCATCCACCTATTCTGCCATAGGATATATCCATAGCCTAATGGGCAACTTTGAAAATGCTGTGGACTATTTCCACACAGTATGTCTTCTATTTATACTCAGTTTTGAATGTGATTAATATTCGCCCTTCTTTTGAAAAGATATTTTCTAAGCAAGATTTTCTTTTTTTATAGCATTAAACTTCTTCAGGCAACATCATTCTTTTATTTGCAGAGAAAAGTATATACATGTTATGTAGTATTTGTCAATTTAGAAAGAAATGTGATGAAACTGGTCAGTATGCAGTGAGATGAGCAAGTACCCAGTGGTACTTGTCATTCAACTCTATTGGGTATCTTGTCCAGGCAGGGAGCACAGAAAAATGCATTCCCAGCTGGGCGCTGGTAGCTCATGCCTGTAATCCTAACTACTCTGGTGGCTGAGATCTGAGAATTACAGTTCAAAGCCAGTCCATGCAGGAAGTTTATGAGACTCTTATCTCCATTTAACCACCAGAAAACCAGAAGTAGTGCTGTAGCTCAAGTAGTAGAACACTGGCCTCCAGCAAAACGAGGACAAGGACAGCGCCCAGGCCTGGAGTTAAAGCCCCAGGACGGACAGAATAAAACAAACACCCACCATTCCCAGTGATGGCCTTTGGGAACTGTCTTTGTACTCAAGACTCTTAGAATTAACTTACTAAATCACTTTTATAGAATAATCTTTTCATTCATTACGAGGAAAGAATCTTTCCTTAGTCCTGAAACATATTTCATCAAAGCCAAGACACCACAAATCAGTACCAGTACCGGGACCATAAAGAAAAAGATACCACCAGTTAAAATCCAACATAATTAGCTCGGTGCTGGTGGCTCACGCCTGTAATTCTAGCTACTCAGGAGGCTGAGATCCTGAGGATCATGGTTCAAACCCAGTCTGGGCAGGAAAGTCTATAAATAGATTCTTACCTCCAATAAACCACCAGAAAATCGGAAGTGGTGCTGTGGCTCAAGTGGTAGAGCGCTGGCCTTGAGCTAAAGAGCTGAGGGACAGCACCCAGGCCAGGAGTTCAAGCCCCATGACTGACAAAAAAATAAAATAAATCCAACATAATTACTTTTCTGTCATTTAATTTTTTTTGCACTTAGAGAAAATACTCTTATATAGACATAGATTTTTTTTTTTAAACTGGGGATCACTGTAATATATCAGAAGAAAATATAAGTGAATAAATGGTTTCAGTTTTCAAGCCACAGTCAGTGTTCCTGTCTTCCCAAGAGAGTGTCTTAGTGTCACATGTCCATTATTGAGTTTGGGTCTCTTCTCAACAGTAGATTCCTGCTTTGCACATTGCTCTGAAACCCCTCTCAGCCTATTAAGGGAGGGTTTTGGACAATTACCATAATTCACATATCTCTACTTGTGTCATCTGACCACCAGGCCAACCATGCAGGAGGAAGACCCTGTTTCACAGCTGTGGCTGGTGACAGCAGCAATAAAAAGCGATTAGTTGTAAGGTATTCCAGGTTCAGAAATACAAGAATTTGAGGGAAAATATGGGCCAGAGAATCAATTAACTCATGTAGTTGCGAAGATAAAAAATATGGTACTATAATAGTTCCAAAGTAAATCATCAGTGATATGCTCATAAATCATTTTCAAGGACTAATTAGAGATTTTCAGGCTACATGGAATCTTTTAAAAAACTTAAGTGGTTGTACAAACAAGGTTTCAATTCCACAGGTCACATGATAAGTACAGTGCATCTTGATCAGTATTACTTCTTCCATTGTTCTCCCCATCTTCATTCCATCCCTAACCTCGTTACATACTTCTGTTTTTACATAATGTACATTGAATATAATGACTGTATTTGCTCACTCTTTTTCCCTCTGTACATAGAGTCTTAAAGGTGTCCCTGTGAGTATCTTGAGCTATGACAATGCAAGTTTTCTTGTCTTATATCTTTCAACTATGTATATTTTGAGTATCATATAATTTACTAAGTGTCAGAGTATACACTTGGTGGAAACACAGCATTTTAAGCTCTTGAATAGAATTCAAGTTTGCCAATGGAATAGTATGATGAACCTCTTTGACCATCACCCCCTCTCATCAATCTCAGTCTTACAGCTGTATCCCCATCAATACTGTCATCATCCCACCCTGGATCCCCTGAAATACTTTGAAATGAATCTGCGTGGGAGTATTTTTAAAGAGGAGAGAATGTACTACGTTTTTGATAATCATGCTCAATCTCTCTTGGCAGGCCCTTGGTCTTAGGCGAGATGATACCTTTTCTGTTACAATGCTTGGTCATTGCATTGAAATGTACATTGGTGATTCTGAAGCTTATATTGGTAAGATAATAATCACTCTTACTGGCATTGTATTCTTCATTTTCAATTACTGTATATCTGTTTGAGATTCTTAAGTTTTAATCCAAGATTCTAGATTTATCATTCCAACATTCTAACAGTGATGTCAAGAGGTTCTGGGTTTTCTCAGATAGCTGTCATTGGCAGATGCTCATTTGGGTTGATGATCTGTTATAGACTCACTTGTGCTAGGATGGCAGATCCTCCCATTGTAGGGCTTTCAACCCTGCCTTCTTCATATTCTGGTATACTCAGGATCATAGAGGACAAGAGCCAACGCTTCTAGAACCTTCCTGGAATCAGGTTGCATTCTTTGTTGGGGAAGTGTTAATGGAAGCTAGTGACTCATTTCATGTTGAGAACTTGGTGCACACAGAACGCTGTTAACAGAGTGTGTGTGACTCATTGTGATACAGAGGAGTTAGTCTACTTAAATAGTAAACCAATCTTGAAGATATTTTCTAAGCCAGGCGCCAGTGGCTCATATTGGTCATCCTGGCTACTCAGGAGACTTAGATCTGAGGATTGTGATTCAAAGCCAGCCCAGGTAGGAACATCTGTAAGACTCTAATCTCCAATTAACCACCTGAAACCTGGAAGTGGCACTGTGGCTCAAGTGGTAGAGCACTTGCCTTGAGCTGAAGAGCTCAGGGACAGCGCCCAGGCCCAGAGTTCAAGCCCCACAACCAACAAAAAATAGATACTTTCTAGTAAGTGAAGGGTTCTGGCCTTCCTATTTTGTAATATGTGGCACAAAATAATAGTAATCTTGACATTAGGTGCCTTGAATTTACTTTCAGTGGCATATAACCCTTATTTTTGTAACAATAATAGGGTAGGTTTGAATAGATTTGATGTATTTGTGGAGTTTCTTAAGATTCAAAAGGGCACATTGAGATGAAATCTTGAGATCTAGTGTAGGCAAAGATTTAAGAATGTAAAATATGTTCAGTGGGAAAAATGACCAATTGATATTTAATATCACTAAGAACTTTCGTTAACTAAAAATTCTGTTATAAGACATGGCATTGACAGGGAGACGTGGCTCAGGACACAGGGGATTCATGTCTGGGACACCGAATCATAGAGGTTGCTTAGAAAAGATGGAACAAAGTACCTCAGCCAGGCCAGGTGCCAGTGGCTTACCCTTGTAATCCTCTCATCATGGTTCAAAGCCAACCCAGGCAGGAAAGTCCATGATTCTTACTTTGAATTGACTGCCCCCCAAAACAAAAGTGGGACTGTGGCTCCAGTGATAGAGCAATTGCCTTGAGAAAAAGCTCAGTGATAGTGCCCATGCCCAGAGTTCAAACCCCAAGACTGGCACCAAAAAAACAACTGGCTCTGTAGCTCAGAAGGCTAAATTCTGAGGATTGTGGTTTGCAGGAAAATCCTTGAGACTTACCTCTAATTAACCACCAAAACAGCTGGAAATGGAGCTGTGGCTCAAGTGGTAGGGTGCTAGCATTGAGTAAAAGAGCTCAGAGACAACACCCAGGTCCTAAGCGCAGGAATAGTGCATGTGTGCACATGTACATGCAAGCATGCGTGTGCTTGAAGAGGAGCTTTACAAAGAGGGCATCTGATTATAGAGCATAAAGGCACTCAGCAGCAGCATTTACTTGTTTGGGAATGGAGTTGGCATTCTAGTGACAAATTGCCACACATCCTTCAGAATGCCTGAATCATACTTTGTGACAATACTTAGCATTGGGTTAACGTAGAACAACTGGAGATTCTGTGTGATTTAAGGGGCTATAAATGGGTACAATTTCACAAACACTGTTTAGCATACTACTAAAGTTATCCATTACAGTTGCTTCTTACATAACAACTCTAAAAATGTGGCTTCAAACAACAATGTGTAGTGTTTGGGTCATTGGGAGTGCTCTGCTGGTCTCTTTGGAATTTGTTTTGATTATCCATGGGGCTCTCAGGGCCAGAGCAGTTACATGTGCTGGCCAGGAAGTAGAGTGGATGTCTGAACTCCTGGCTTTTTTTCTTCTCCCTTTTATTCCATCTAGGCCCCCAGCCTATAGTGTTACTAACTTAAGTTGGTTCTTACCTAGTTAATCCTCTCTAAATCCCCTCACAAACACTTCCAGAGGTGTGCTTTACTAATCAGCCAGGCACTTCCCAGTCCAAATTATCTGTCAAGATCAGCTATCACAAGTTCCTCATTTGTTCTGGGAGACCTGTTGGGCTCAAATGTGAAGCTAAGCCAGGGCTGGAAATGCCTCCTGGAGCGGAATAGTTTTTCTCTGTCCTTGAGGAAGTGGTCCCAGATTGCCAGGTTATTGTTCACTGCGTGTTTTGCCTTCAGGAGGTTTGTAGTCATTATCTGTCAAAAGTACCTCATCCTGAAAGGATAAGTACCTCAAACCTACTAAGGTGTATTGCATGAAATTCTCAGGTAATGTCAGAAATCATTGGATGCAATGTATTGGTTCTGACCTGTCCAGAAGGTTGGCATGTGGGAAATGTATTGTGGCTTCCATGAGCAGTAGAACAGTACCATTCCAAACAGACATAGAGAGTCTTGTACTTGCTCATGTCTTCCTTGCTGATGGCTCATACATACTCTACCACTTGAGCTGGTAAGAGGTCTCAGCCTCCTGAGGATTACAGGCATGAACTACTAGAATCCAGCTCCACAGATGGTTCTTGCTTGGGACAGGGAGGAAAAGTTGCCTACATGCTTCATCCAGTATTCAGGGGGCTTTGTAAACAGGTAGCTGTGAAGCCACTTGAGAACCACACCTGCATGTGCTTCCTTTAAAATAGTAGCAAATAGCTGGGTGGTGGTGGCTCACACTGTGATCCTAGCTATTCAGGAGAATGAGATCTGAGGATTGTGGTTCAGAGCCAGCCCAGGCAGTAAAGTCCATGAGACACTTACCTCCCGTTCACCACCAGAAAACCAGAAGTGGAGTTGTGGCTGAAGTGGTAGAGTACTAGCCTTAAGCAGAAATGCTCAGGGATAGCATCAGGCCCTGAGTTTAAGCCCCATGACGGGGTTGGGAGAATGACAAAAATAGTAGCAAATGAAAGAAATGGGCATTCTTTTCCTTCTCTCTTGTAGAGAGTCCTTTTATCTACCTTAAAAGTAGTTTAAGGCCAGGCGCCGGTGGCTCGCGTCTGTAATCCTAGCTACTCAGGTGGCTGAGATCTAAGGATTGCAGTTCAAAGCCAGCCAAGGCAGGAAAGTCCGAGAGACTCTTAGCTCCAATAAACCACTAGAAAACTGGAAGTGGCACTGTGGCTCAAGTGGTAGACTACTCACTTGAGCTGAAGGACCTCAGGGACAGTGCCTAGGCCCAGAGTTCAAGCCCCATGACTGACCAAAAAAGAAAAAAAAGTAGTTTGATTTAAATGGTATAATGATGGAAATGTTAGTTCAATGATGGAATTTCTTACTTCAATTCTTTTTAGGAGCAGACATTAAAGACAAATTAAAGTGTTATGACTTTGATGTACATACAATGAAGACACTGAAAAACATTATTTCACCTCCGTGGGATTTCAGAGAATTTGAAGTAGAAAAACAGACTACAGAAGAAACAGGACTTGCACCACTGGAAAACTCCAGGAAAACTCCAGATTCCAGACCTTCCTTGGAAGAAACCTTTGAAATTGAAATGAATGAAAGTGACATGATGTTAGAGACATCTATGTCAGATCATAGCACGTGACCCAGGTACTAGTCCCGGGCTTTCACGTGCTGTGTCAGTTTTTCCTCATGTCCTTGCCACATCCCAAGGATTTCCTGCTTTTTAACGTGAATCCAAACTATATCTCCACATTTAGGACCAGGGGCCTTGCCTTAAGAGACAGGATCTACAGCAGGTGTGTTCTGATTTTTGGTTATATGTAGCTGAATAAAGAGGTAAACTGTCCATTATGTCTTTTTCTCTCCTAACCTGTATCTATTTTGGAATAATTTTGGATTTATAGAAAACATGCCTTGTTTCTCCATTAATATCTTTTGTTATAGTGATAAGTTGTTATGGCTAAGAGATTGACATTGGTATGTTGCTAACAAAACTCCATTTTTCCCCCAGATCCTTTTTTTTTTTGTCTCACTTGATTTTTTTATTATACTTTTTTTGGTACTTTTTCTTATGCTTCCTTGCACATTTTTAGGTTTTTCTTGATGGTTACCTTGTAGGGTATAACACCTTAACCTAAGTCAATTTAGTTTCAGTATTGTAAAAACTTTCTGCTGCTATTCAGATCCCTGCTATTCAGATCCCTGCCTCTACCTTTAACATGTCATGATCAAAGAGGACTTCCTGTGTGTACATTGTTTGCCCTTAACAATTATAATTGCTGTCTTATCACTTGCCTTTTAAGTCTTACAGGAAAATAGTACAGCCGGGCACCAGTGGCTCATGCCTATAATCCTACCTACCCAGGAGGCAGAGAGATCTGAGGATCGAGGTTTGAAGCCAGCCTATCTCCAATTCATCACAGAAAAAGCTGGAAGTGGCACTGTGGATCAAGGGGTAGAATGCTGGCCTTGAGCAAAAATGAGCTAAGGGACCGCATCCAAGCCTAGAGTTTGAGCTGCAGGGTTCACCGTCCACCCTCACTCCCCCTCCCCCAAAAAAGAGTACAAACCAAAAGCATACTTGTTTTCAAATTTACCTGCACAGTTACCTTTACCATTGTCCTCATATGACTCTGAATTTCTGCCTAGTAACCTTGTGTTTTATGTGAAGGAGTTGCTTTCGCATTATTTCTTTCCCTCCCCTTTTCAGTGCTGGAAATGGAGCCCAGGATCTCCCACATGGGGCAGGCACTGCAAATGAGCTGACCTCTTACCACCACCCCAGTAGTATTTCTTATTCTTGCAGAATAGGACACCTTCTTCTCTTTATCTGAGAATGGCTAATTTTGTTTTCATTCATGGTTAATTTCACTGAATATAGAATTCTCACCTGATTTTTTTTTTTTTCTTTTTATCAGCCGCTTAAATGACAGCCAGCTCTGGCCTGGCCTCCATGGCATCTGAAAAGTCAGCGCCAAATTACTGAGGATCCTTTCACACGTGAGCTGTTGCTTCTCTTATTTTAAGGTTCCTGATTTGTCTTTTGAAAATTTAAGTAACATTATTCAGTGTGGACCTTTTTTTTTTGCAGAGCCTCATACTAGTAGGCAAGCACCTCTACCTCTTGATCCTATGCCCCTGATCAATTTTTTTGTCTTAATTTTTCAGATAAGTTCTCACGTATTTGCTTGGGACCAGCTTTAGACCTAGACCTAGGGTTTCTGCATACTTGGGAACACAGGCACAAACTACCACATCTAGCTGAGATGGTATCCCACTTTTTTTTTTTGAGCTGCCTTCAGACTTCTTGATAGCTGCCTCCTTACCACAGGTGTAAGCCATCACACCTGGAAATCAGTGTGGAACTCTTCGTCTTGTTTACCCTGCTTGCAGTTGGGATTCTTGAATGTCTTTATTATATTTGGGTAGTTTTCAGCCATTATTTCTTTACATATTTTTTTCTGCCTTATCTTTCTCTTGAGATCAGTGCATTGTATATGTTGGTAAGTTTAAGGGTGTCACATGGATCTGTTTTATTTTTCCTCATTTCTACTTCTCACACTGAGTAACTTCAGTTGTCTTCATGTTTGTGGGTTCTGTTTTGTCTTCTCATTCTGCTGCTGAACTCCTCCTGTGGTTTTTATGCTTTTTAGTTCCAGAACTTGTGATGGATGAAGAGAACATAGGAACTGAAAATGAAAAGCAATTTCTATTTATATCCCACTCTTCTGGTGCCCTGAATTGTCTATGGTTTCCATGGTTTCCATAGTTTCCATGTGTATATGCCAGTTCTGGGCTTGAACTTAGGGCCTGGTCACTGTTTCTGAGCTTTTGTGCTCAAGGGTATCACTCTTACATTTGAGCCACAGCTCTACATTTGGCTTTTTGGGGTGGTTAATTGGAGATAAGAGTCTCACTGACTTTTCTAGCCTGGGATGGCTTTGAACCACAATCTTCAGATCTCTGCCATCTTAGTAGCTAGGATTACAGGCAAGAGCCACAGACTCGGGGCTTCATATCCTTATAAGTATACCTAAACTTGTAATTACAATTTCTGGCTTTCCTCAGTAATATTTTGTGTCAATTGTGTGTGTGTGTGTGTGTGTGTGTGTGTGTGTGTGTGTGTATGTGTATGTGCCAGCCATATTTCTCAGTTTGTAAGCTTTGTAGTTTTGAGATAGTCATTTTGAATATTTTATTGTAATAACTGGATACCAAATCCCCTCCTTAGGGATTTCTGCTTTTGTTATTTGTGAAGAGCTACAGTCACCCAATTAATTTCCAGATTGTTTTTGCAAAATCCATATTCTTTATGTATTTACTGAATTGCTGTTATATTATCTCTGACCAGCCTATGACCTGCCAGCTTACCTTAAATGTCTGTATCTTAAAAAAAAATGTGTGTGTGTGTGACTCAATATCCTCACAGCTATTGCTGGAAAAACCACCATTGCTTGGGGGGTTACAATTAAGTCCTGCATGTGCGATGGTCCCTTGGAACCAGTAGGGCAGGACATGGTTTCAGTTTGCTTTCTTGTTGCTGTGACAAATTACCAGAGAAAACTTGAGGGAGAAATTTTGTTTTGGTCAGTCATGGGGCTTGAACTCAGGGCCTGTATACTGTCCCTGAGCTCTTTTGCTCAAGGCTGGTACTCTGCCACTTTGAGCCACAGCTCCACTTCCGGTTTTAGAGTGGTTTAATTGGAGATAAGAGTTTCATAGGGAATTTTCTGCCTGGTCTGGCTTTGAACTGTGACCTCAGCTCTAGCCTCCTGAGCAGCTAGGATTACAGATGTGAGCCACTAGTGCCTGGCTGAGAAATTACTTCTTTTGGCTGTTTTAATGGTTTCAGTCCATTATGGCAAGGAGGGCTTGGTGGAGCATATGATGCAATGCCAGGATGCAGAGAATAAGGGTCTTGGGACCAGGCACAACCTTCAAAGGTATATTTCTAGTGACCTACTTTTCATCTCCTAAATTACCTATCTCCCCCAATGAAGGTCATTGGGTAGACCTACATTTCATAGTCAGACCATAACATGCATGGTCGGTACCAGTTGGGCAGGTATCGTGCTCACCACAGCTGCACCATCACTAGAGCTGTAGAACCACATCTGTCCAACAAAATTACAAAAGCAGGTGGTTTTGGGGGGGAAAGGAAGGGTGTTTAATTTTTAAGTTAGAAAATGCCATTTGGAATCAATCTGAGGCATTATTGAGCAATAAGCAGATTTCAAGTGGCTAAAACAAAGTTTAAACCAAAATATTTCTAGTACAAGTCCAGAAGTACCAGAAAATACTGTATAAGTACTTGGATAATATAGTTGTAGTAGTGTAACTTTAAAGTACATGTTCTTTACTGTCTGTAGTCCACATACAATTGCAGGTCTACAAACCAACCACATACTGACAGTTCCTTAAAAGAATACTTTTGAGTTTAACCAACCACATCTGTTATGCAGGAGGGTCCCTCACCTCTTCAGCTCAAGGCAAGCACTCTACCACTTGAGCCACAGCACCACTTCTGGTTTTCAGATGGTTAATTGGAAATGAGTCTCTCACCGACTTTTCTGCTCAGGCTGGCTTTGAACCGTGATCCTTAGATCTCAGCCTCCTGAATAGCTAGGATTATAGGCGTGGGCCGCTGGCACTCAGCTTCAAACAAGGTTTTTTTTGTAGTGTTTTTCACTGTGCTGTTATTTGTACAACTCTTCATAGTGTACTGGACCATTATCAGTAGCTGCTTCATTGATCATTCTCACCTCTTCTTGTGAACTATTAACACGTGATGAAGTGCAGAGCCACTAATAGTACTATTGCTACTGCTTTATCAAACACAGAGTGCTTCAATTTCTTCACTTTATTTCATTTTCTGCCATCATTGTTGAAGATTGTCTTTTATTTATTTTAGTGGCTTTTTTGGATCACAGACATCATACATGCTTTTATTTAGAGTAATCAAATAATTACACTAAAAAAAATGTTAATAGTTAAGATGAACTTATTCTATATTGTCTGCCTGAGCAATTTTCTTCATTGAGCACCTGTTATTACAGGCTTTATCACAAGCATGTTTTTAGCTATCTAATCTAGCTCAAGGGTAGAACCACTTAGGTGCTGTTTTCACCCTAACATTTTGTGTGCTTTACTGCTTTAGGTTAAAATTCTGTGCTTACGTAATACAAACCATTTGGAACAGGCTGGGTAGTAAGTGGGAAAGTAGGTCATCTATATTACACAGGATTTTTTTCTTTTTTTTGTGTGCCGGTTGTAGGGTGTGAACTCTGGGCCTAGGCACTGTCCCTCAGCTCTTTAGCTCAAGGCTAGTGTTCTATCACTTGAGCCACAGTGCCACTTCGGCTTTTTCTGTTTATGTGGTGCTGAGGAATCAAACCAAGGGCCTCATGCACGTAAGGCAAGCACTCTACCACTGAGCCACCTTCCCAGTCCTATGTTAACAGTTTTTATGTGAAGTCATAAGCATTATTAGGAGCATTTGCTGAATCTTGAAATTAAAGTTTTAAGGAATTATCATCTGAATTCTAAAATTTTATGTTTAATGGTGTGTATGTGTGTGTGTTTGCCAGCCAGTCCTGGGGCTTGAACTCAGGGCCTGGCACTGTCCCTGAGTTTCTTTTGCTTAAGGTTAGCACTACCTACCAGTTGAGTCACAGCACCACTTGCAGGTTTTTCTGTTTATGTGAGGAATTGAACCTGGGGCTTCATGCCACGCTACCACTAAAGCCACATTCCCAGTCCCCTAAAATTCATTTGTATGAAATCACTTTTCAGAACTGTTCCTTGCAGTAATCTGAAGAACTACAAATATCTTAAAACATTGCCTATTGGGGTAGCTAACTAGGCATTTTTCTGGTTTACCTCAACAAGAAATATGCATCCTATCATGCCCTTGAGCTGAGGGTGGAGGTGGTCCCAAACGAGAGACAGAACAACTTGGTTTCCAAAAGGAGAGCAGGAGATACTAGGTGACATACCTTCACAGTGGTGTGGCTAATAAAGACTGGGGACGCTATTCTTCTCTCCATTTGGTAATTTGGGAATATCTTGGCTGATTATTTAATAAAGGAATCTTTTGTTGCAAAAATGTTTCAGTGGATGTGAGATAAAGGTATCAGAATTCCACTTCCCAATCTAGAAACATTGGAACTAAAAAAATCCTGCTTCAGATTGTTCAACTTAAGTAATGGTTGGAAACTGGAAAGAGAAGGTATGCACCGTATGTACAAAAGGTGTGTACGTGTCCCATGTCTAAACACTGCTAAAACATTCCATTAAATCTAGCTTATGTTTTTATCAGGCTCAACTGCCCTTATCTCTGTCCTCGATCATGTATTAGATTTTATCTGGCAACTCCATTTTCTTT